GAACTTAGCGGTGAATCCCTTCATCTGGTCATCGGTGGTATTGGCGCCGATCTTATCCTTAATGCTGTCCTGACAGCTAAGGACACACCTCTCGATCCGATCCTATCAATGAATCAAACATTTCATATATCACTACACGTATGACACAAATGATGGACTGTTTATCACCTGAAAGGCATTCACTTCGCGCTCCACGTATGCCTGGGCTGACTGCAGGGGTTGTGAGCACCGGGATATACACTCGTGGTTGCCCTCCATGGACAGGTCGGTGCGGTCGCAGCACTTGGCCGCGCACTTATGCATTTCACCCTGGTCATGGTCATACAGTATATCATCAATACATTAGTTCAATACAGTGGTGTCCTTGTCTTCACTCATTGTCAACACCTGGTCTCTCGCTTACTATCATTATCTCATTCCCATTATCGCTCACCTCATCATATATGGTATATACTGTATGGCAGTCCACGACTGTCCGCACAATCATTGGAACCGATGGGAAAGGGGTTGACAAGTGTTGACATCAAATGAAAACAAGTATAATGTGCTCAACAATGCATTGTTGTGGGGTTGTGGGGGTGATATGTGGGGTGGGGTGGGGTGTGGTGTGGTGTGGTAACTGACCTGTATGTTGCGCATACATGACTTGTCCAGGTCATTCATCAACTGATGGAAGGACTGTTGAACACGTGTTTGTGCTTCAGATGCCATCACTTGTGTCTCAATATATCGATATAGCAGTGAATGTCGATACCATTCATGCACTGTTGCTGTACTATAGCTGTACTATAGCTGTATTGCCACTCAAACCCACAATTGCTTCACTTTCCTCAGTCTCTCACTATTCTCTGATTGTATATATTTTTCTCTCAATTATTGTTACAAATATTTATTTATTTAATTAATTGTTAGTTATTTTGGTAAATAATATCTAAATTCGTATGATATGACACTACAGTACCATAGACTGGTGGGATTGTTATGTAAAGAATTTGTTTTCTAAATAATAGGAAAATTTGGATAAACCCTATGATATGTTGATTCAAATGAATATGAATTGATTTTGAAACTTGTGTGCCATATATTCATATGAAATATATGTAATCATAAAGTCTCATAATGTAAACCCTTTTAAGTGTCTAAGACTTGTGGGCAAATATTATTTATTCCGGAAATACATTTAATCCTTGATTTAGACTATGATTTAATCCATTTATGTATGACTTATAATAACACACTTCTTATGTACAATAAAATTGTTTTCATATAAATAATAATCACTTTAAGGCGAAAAAAGTTATGAAAAGCAAAACAAATGAATATAAAGTTATTTATAGTATGAACATATCTAGCAAAATAGTACATTTTAAAATCTTATTGACAAACTTATTTGCAATGACAATGTCCGCGGGTATATCTGACCGGGCGTAACAGTTTATTACTTGACAAATACAAATACAAAACAATGTAATATAATGTCATAATATTTGTCTGTTTTGAAAACTTTTTATTTGACCTTTAAATTAAGTATTAATTATGCTATTTATAATACTATTTATAATACTATTTATTAGCGATAACTGATTTACTAATTAATTATTTCATAAATTTATTTGTTTTGACTAGTTTTGGATAGCATTGGAATTAATTATTGATAAAAACTTATTACCGATAATCTACAAAAGAATTGAAACACTAAATGCAATATTAATCGATATTATTTGGTTCTTATATTTCAATGGGAGAGCATTAGTATATTAACAGTGACTCACATATACATGAAATATAATAAATTATTTTTAATATCAATATTTATTTGTTCAATTTAAACAATTTAAATAACTTATCACTGATAAGTTATCAGAGTATAATAGTTAAATTGTATTGTGAATAATTTGATTTTATAGAATAACAACAAAATCTTTACCCAAAAATGTTTATAAAAAATCTTTATTTTAAAAATGTTTTTAAAAGCTACAGCATATTTTTAAAAAGTTGATAATTTTTAAACATAAAAAATATTCAAAATCTAATTCAAATCCCAAATATTGAAAAACCAATTTATTTTTACAATACTATTAAACATGACATTTATGTTTGAAAACTTTACATCACAAACATTACGATTGAAGTCTTGTATCGGCGTTAGAGCTGAAGACTGTTTAAAACATTTTTATGGTGTGATTCTACAGATAGTTCTTGACATCAGATATTTGTTTAACGGTTAAGATTTAAAGATAGTAAAACATTACGATTGAAGTCTTGTATCGGCGTTAGAGCTGAAGACTGTTTAAAACATTTTTATGGTGTGATTCTACAGATAGTTCTTGACATCAGATATTTGTTTAACGGTTAAGATTTAAAGATAGTGTGGGTTTTGCTTGCTGTTTATATTCTATAGTTTATTAGACGCTTATTATAATTACGGACTAAACAGCCCTCGCATTCAAGTGTCTCAACTCTTTCTATAATTTAATAACAACACAAAAAATAGTGGTCTGACAGAAGAATATAGTTTTTTTTGTCTCTACTCTAACCACCCATGGAGTTAACCCATGGGGTCGGAAGCAGGGCATAAATTTGGAGTTATTTTTGTTTTTATGTAATCTATGACTCTTATGATGGTTAGAGACGATTGAGGAGATCATTGGCTAAACTCACAAAAGAAAATCACTTTTTTCTTATTTAAACGGCTCTCAAATAGATCTGTGACCGACTTTGTGGCTGATATTGAAAGCAATACTTGAGGCGATCGTATAGTTGTTTCAGTGATTTTCAGTGATGGGCTCTTTAGACGGTGGCAGCGAATGGCCCGAAGGGGTCATAAACTAGTAGTAGTTGTGCCGCAAACTCCTAATCGACGAGAATGTCATTCCTTTGATCCTCTCTTTTCTTTGGCTCCTATTCTCTGGGCCTTCAATAAAATGTGAAGCACTGAAGCACTGAATCAAACCACTGATACCTTAACTCAAATATCCAGTGCCTGTCAGTGGGGGTCGGGAGGACACCAAACAAGCGAATCAATCGGTAACACATGTGTCCACTGCTGTCAACATTCCAATCAACAGACGGATAGAAAATACATTACATGTCTGACATGTCCTCCCCTTAATACCTGTCCACATGCTCTATTAGATCCAGTACATTCTACTACAGTATTTATTAGACTATTTGTGATCAACAAATGTCTACAAACTCGTCATTTATACAATAATTCAATATTAGCAGCTAATTTCGAAAAGTTATTTAATCCATTAATTTATTCAATATAAATATTACTCATATACCTTGTTGAAATGCACAATTTTAGATTATCGGTAATAAGTTTTTATCAATAATTAATTCCAATGCTATCCAAAACTAGTCAAAACAAATAAATTTATGAAATAATTAATTAGTAAATCAGTTATCGCTAATAAATAGTATTATAAATAGCATTAATACTTAATTTAAAGGTCAAATAAAAGTTTTCAAAACAGACAAATATTATGACATTATATTACATTGTTTTGTATTTGTATTTGTCAAGTAATAAACTGTTACTGTATTTATACACTAAACTGAACGCCCGGTCAGATATACCCGCGGACATTGTCATTGCAAATAAGTTTGTCAATAAGATTTTCAAATGTACTATTTTGCTAGATTTGTTGATACTATAAATAACTTTATATTCATTTGTTTTGCTTTTCATAACTTTTTTCGCCTTAAAGTGATTATTATTTATAAGAAAACAATTTAATTGTACATAAGAAGTGTGTTATTATAAGTCATACATAAATGGATTAAATCATAGTCTAAATCAAGGATTAAGTGTATTTCCGGAATAAATAATATTTGCCCACAAGTCTTAGACACTTAAAAGGGTTTACATTACAAGACTTTATGATTACATATATTTCATATGAATATATGGCACACAAGTTTCAAAATCAATTCATATTCATTTGAATCAACATATCATAGGGTTTATCGAAATTTGCCTATTATTTAGAAAACAAATTCTTTACATAACAATCCCACCAGTCTATGGTACTGTAGTGTCATATCATACGAATTTAGATATTATTTACCAAAATAACTAACAACTAATTAAATAAATAAATATTTGTAACAATAATTGAGAGAAAAATCTATACAATGAGAGAGACTGAGGAAAGTGAAGCAATTGTGGGTTTGAGTGGCAATACAGCTATAGTACAGCAACAGTGCATTGAATGGTATCGACATTCACTGCTATATCGATATATTGAGACACAAGTGATGGCATCTGAAGCACAAACACGTGTTCAACAGTCCTTCCATCAGTTGATGAATGACCTGGACAAGTCATGTATGCGCAACATACAGGTCAGTTACCACACACCCACCCCACATAGCACCCCCACAACCCCACAACACGTGCATTGTTGAGCACATTATACTTGTTTTCATTTGATGTCAACACTTGTCAACCCCTTTCCCATCGGTTCCAATGATTGTGCGGACAGTCGTGGACTGCCATACATGCCATATATGGTGTGGAATAATGGTCTCGCGAATGAGATAATGATAGTAAGCGAGAGACCAGGTGTTGACAATGAGTGAAGACAAGGACACCACTGTATTGAACTCATGTATTGATGATATACTGTATGACCATGACCAGGGTGAAATGCATAAGTGCGCGGCCAAGTGCTGCGACCGCACCGACCTGTCCATGGAGGGCAACCACGAGTGTATATCCCGGTGCTCACAACCTCTGCAGTCAGCCCAGGCATACGTGGAGCGCGAAGTGAATGCCTTTCAGGTGATAAACAGTCCATCATTTGTGTCATACATGTAGTAATGTATGAAATGTTTGATTCATTGATAGGATCGGATCGAGAGGTGTGTCCTTAGCTGTCAGGACAGCATTAAGGATAAGATCGGCGCCAATACCACCGATGACCAGATGAAGGGATTCACCGCTAAGTTCGAGTCTTGTGTCGTGAAGTGTGTGGACACACACATAGGGCTTATGCCTAATATGTTGTCCAAAATGAGACAATCCATTCAAAAGGGTTCATACAATTAGATCACGTCTTCATATTAGACTAATTTTCAAATTATAGGCATTTTTGTAGATTTATTATCAAATTATAGAATTAAAAACATTTTTATATTAAAATTCTTGTTATTTGTAATCAAATTTATAAAAACAATTTCAATTTATGTTCACTTAAATAACAATCTTATACTTGAGATATGATATACAATAATATACAGTATTTCTCAAATTTATAAACAAATTAACAAAATATCTATTAATTATAATTAACTTAAGTATTAACCAAATGTTAGTAATTGTTGAGAACTGGTAGTTTCCAAATCACCATAACCTGAATCATTGTCATCGAGCTCTTTATGAAGACATGTGATGCGCTTCGAAGGTTTCGTTAGGAAATCAAACTTTTTTCTATAGGAAACATCAGAATTGAGTGCCAATTGAGGTCTTCATCTCTACTTACAATTCATGGACACAATCCTTGAGCTGAGCCGTAGAGTATGTGGTGATGTTCTGCATGTCTTTGCCCCAAACGGGCTCTAAATTGAGTTTATCTCTCGTGTAGTACAGAGTGGAGGCCGCGATCACCGACGGACTGAACGAATAGAACCGCAGATCTGTTGCATCAGAACAAGCAATCAATGAATGAATCCATGAATGAGTGAATCCTATCAACAAATACCCAATGATTTGTCCAAATACTTGTCGACCAGGAATTTGACTGACTTTTTGGCGTACAGTTGAGGCAAACATTTGGCGCAGAAGTAGTCCATATAAGTGGCGGCCGTCGGCGTCAGGAATAGCCAGTCGAAGAACCGAAGAATCATTGCCTCCATCGACAGCACCTCTTCAGCCGAGTACTGATTGGCGTCCGAAAACATATGACTGTATTTGAGAGTCCGGTCGCACTCCTCCACCTTCACTACAGACACACATATAAGACACGCATATAAGCCATAAGTCACTCAACGGATCCATGGGTGCGAACCTGCGATCGCCAGACTGCACATCACTATCAGTTCCAACACGTCTTCATTGATGACATGATTGTCCATAAAGTAGTCCAATATATACACCGATAAGTACTTCACACGAGTTGACAGCTTCAGACATACGCACAGCACTTGGATTCGTTGGATGAGATCGTTGCGGAACTCGAGTTGTGGTGATCTGAACACAAGTCATGATATGTGAGGAATGTGTGGACAATGAGTGCGAGTGAGATATACCTGCAGTGGAAGGGCTGTCTTCGGGTCTCCCTTTGCATGAGGTGTTGGAGACACTCATCCGCGTACTCGAACTCAGGGGTCAATGGAGTGAATGGGGGCGAAGACATCACTGGGGGACCAGTTGGTGGACGGATGTAGTGATGCAGTGAAGGAGTGTCTCATTGAATGCAACCAATGCTGTGATGCACTGAACGGTCACTAAACAGTCACTCATTCACTGTATTAATGCCTAATCCCTGCGATTCTCACAATGCGTTCCATTCACCGATTAGTCGTGTATTGCATTGCAGTCTATGCTCTATGACTATGACTATGACTATGACTATGAATATGAATGCACTGACAGTACAGTACTGCCAGTAATGCTAATCCTTTCCATTAGGCATTCAGTGCTAATTCAATGAACATGCGGTCAAATGTGTGGTCATTGTGTGCAAGTGTCTCACATTAAGGCCAACCTATTATGCAATCATTTGTGTGAACCCTTGCAAGGCTTGCACTCAACACTAAATTTAATCATTTTTTCAAACTCTGACATTACATATGATGTAAGACTTACTGAACACTATTTACCAATGATTTCATGTGTAAAACACATTCAACTAAAGGTTATCTTAATTCATGTCTCAATGTTAGGCAACAAAACTAACAAATATTAGTTAATAATAGTTTGCTATTAGTGTTAGTGATCATCAATGGATCAATTGGTGGCATTTGTTGGCAACTTTTGAAACAACAAATTGTCGTCTTATTGGCCATAAGTTGTCAAACATATGATTGCATGCATTGAATGGATGTGAAGGCAATGTATTTATAAGTGAGTTATATCTGGATTTGAATCATAAGTATTAATATTTGATTGGTTTGATGTGTGGGTCCGTCACTGTGTGTATGTTGTGGTGGTGTTGTCGACAGATAGTGCTGTAGTGACGGTGTGTTTGTTGTTATGTCACACAATCTGTCTGTCGGACACTATTGCCTATTATGGCATAAATGGGAGGGTTTTAGCACTCATTCACACATTCAGTCATTCATTCGCTTGTGATTGCATTCAATTTGATTAGCATTTGATGCAAACTATTGACAAACACTTCACTCAATAAGTATCACTGTATTTGTCAATACATTCACTGTTTAACTGATCCCACAATCAATTGATTGTCATTTGGTTAGAGTTTTGCTCAAATAGTGGTCACTAATTGTCACTCAATTGGACAACACATAGACAACGAAATGCTTCAAAACCGTGAGTATTATGATTGTCCACAGCGTGTGATCACGTAAGACACGATCACCTAATGATCAGTTGTCACCACTTGTCAGGCAATACGTTCGCAACGCTTCCACGAACTGCCAGAGGAATGCCTCTAGTCTTAGGAGGAGATCCCAAGGGAAAGACCTTTTTGTATCCCAACGGCAATAGTATAATAATCCGGGACATCGACAACCCGGCCATCGCTGACATCTACACCGAGCACTCGACTCAGACAACTGTTGCCAAATACAGTCCGTCCGGTTTCTACATCTGTTCGGCCGATCAGTCCGGGAAAGTCCGCATTTGGGACACCACTCAGAAGGAGCATATCCTCAAGAATGAGTTCCAGCCATTCGTGGGCAACATTAAGGACCTCTCGTGGTCTCCGGACAGTCAACGCATCGTCGCTGTGGGCGAAGGACGCGAACGCTTCGGTCACGTGTTTATGATGGAGACGGGAACCTCTGTGGGAGAGATTGCCGGCCACTCCAAGATTATCAACTCGTGTGACTTCCGTCCCGGCCGTCCCTTCCGTATAATAACCGGAAGCGAAGACAACTTCATCGGTATATACGAAGGCCCGCCCTTTAAGTTCAAGACTCAACTCGAAGATCACTCCAGATTTGTTCAATCCGTGCGATTTGCGCCCAACGGAGACCTGTTCGCCAGCGCCGGCTTCGACGGCAAGTTATTTGTCTATAAGACTAACGATTACAGCAAAGTCGGGGAGTTTGGCAGTCCTGCACACGGCGGTGGTATATATGCTGTCCAGTGGTCGCCCGATGGCACACAACTGTTGACCGCATCGGGAGATAAGACATGCAAACTATGGGATGCAAACACTCTTCAATGCGTTACGTATGATATATGAGACCAGTTGCAGATTGCATTTACCGTATTATTTGTCTTATTATTGTGTCATTACTTGTAGTGAATTCCAAATGGGAAGCGATGTGTTGGACCAACAGGTGAGCTGTTTGTGGCAAAATCAATACCTGTTGTCTGTCTCGCTGTCCGGTTTCATCAACTATCTGGACGTCAATAACCCAAACAAACCCTTACGTGTAGTCAAAGGACATAATAAGACAATCACTGCTCTAATTGTCAATAAGAATTCGAGTGAGAAATACATTTATACGGGAAGTACTGACGGCTACATAACCTATTGGAACCCACAAAATGGTGATCACAACCGAATTGCCGGTAAAGGACACACCAATCAAGTGGCAGACCTGGCCTTCAATAAGAACACTGTTTATAGCGTGGGTTTTGATGACACCATCAAAACCATTGACTCAAATGATAATAAATTCTCAAATGAAATCAAATTGGATTCACAACCACACGGTGTGGCTGTTCTGGAAGGACAGGAGGTTATTGTAGTGGCGGGTCATGAGACCATCAGTGTATACACTAATGTAAGCAATTATGGCAAACAGTCATCGATTCCGGTCTCTTACGAGCCGTCAAGTGTTAGCGTAAATCAGGTGCACAACGATGTGGCCGTTGGGGGCACTAAAGACAGCAAAGTCCACATCTATGGCCTCAATGGCAACGAGTTGACTGAGAAGGCAGTGTTAGACCATCGCGCGCCCATCACTGACGTCGCCTACTCTTCTGACGGCAAATACTTGGCCGCCGCCGACCAGAATAGGTATGCCTTCCGCTCATCCATTTCCTCACTTCTATTGACTTCTATTGAATTTGTTTTATATTATCAGAAAAATAGTTCTCTATTTGGCTCCAACTTATGAGGTTTGACATACAATTGCTTTGATCCCTACCCGTACCGTAAATATTGAAATTAATTGTTAAATATGCGGCAATAGTTGGCGCATCAACTTGAATGGGGTTTCCATACGGCTCGCGTTAACTGTCTTTCCTGGTCGGCCGATAACATACACTTAGCGTCCGGTTCTTTGGACACCGGTATCATCATTTGGAACGCATCCCAACCTAACAAACACTTTTCGCTCAAAAGTAAAGTTAAAGTGAATTTAGAAATAAGTTTTTAAGTGATATACTGTTTGTGTAACAGAAGCCCACCCACAAAGTCAAGTGACACGCATTGAGTGGTTAGACGAGTCGACTCTGGTGTCCACCGGACACGACGGCACTATCAAAGTGTGGACCGTTTTATTCGGATAATTGGCCACAAATTTAATAATGTCTTCAATTTATGGAAACCTTTCTTCACACCAAAGATATGATAACATCTGTCGACAAAATTCTGATGTATCTTTACGTTATTTGTATTGTTTTTAACTTAATTCTCGTTTCTTAAAATATTTATTGATTCCAAACTAAACTAATGAACGGCTAAACTATTTTGAAAGTTGTGTCCAATTTAGCCATAAGTGCACTTAATATTGAATCATGAATTGAATTGATTTATGCGCTTCTGATAATTGATTTGATATTAAAGTTTTATTTATTTGACTTAAAATAATAGTGTTTATAAAAATAATAATTTAATTAACAATTTGGCACTCGTTTTGATTATTGTCATCACTTCTCAACCAAACGAGTCCATCACCAGAAGGCGCGAACTTTGAGGGCAACAATACGTTAAGCCAACCACCGGTGCGATGGAGTCCTAGAAAGCGCCTCCAGTTTTCTCGCGGCCCGAAATCATAGGGGTTTACAAACCTTTTGCCGATTCCTAACAAACGTTTTCTTTCTTTTTTATTTACATGTCTTTCGATACAAGTCTCGCCTTTTGTTATGAGCAGTGAATGATAAGCAATGAGAGCACCTGGATGTTAGGCAATAAATGTGAACAGTTTTACAAATACCGCAATTGACTCCACTCTTACCCAAAGCAACAAATATCCCGATAGTCATCAGACCCTCAAAGATAATGCACTTGTGTTTCATATAACCGACAAAATCTGTCGAAGTATTTGTGGAATTCTGTCGAAATTAAATGTTTAGTAAAACAGTTGTAGTTTTGATCCAATATTACAGAAGTGGTCGATTCAGTCGAAGTGATGTCTGTTTGCGGCCAAAAGTGTTCGTAAGCTATTGTAAAGCCAAATATCATCACAAAAACAGTTCCAATCCATGTGTAGAGACAAAACATGAAGAAATATCTGTGATTGAAGTGTCCGATGCAGTTGTTAAGCCACGGGCAGTGGTGGTCCATCTTAAGCACACACCTGTCATATATGAGACAATTGATGAGACAATGGGCTAACAGTGCTCAGGGTTGCCAACGGATGCAATACTTGTTACAAACAGAGCAGTGATGGGTTCGCGACGGCTTCGGACCAATACATCGCTTACAGAATGAGACCACTTCTGAAAGGGTTGTGTTCTTTGAAACAGACATTACTTTCAATGATAGTGTGCTCTACAAGAAGTGACACAACAATTAAGTCATACTTCTGGGGGATGTCCTGGAGATGTGGTGTAAGCCATGAAGTAGTGATAACAGACATTAATGAGTAACCAGTGGCCGATCACCAGTGCTATAGATGTGACTGTTTTGCTGGTTCGCCACCAAAAGCTCAGACCTATTGTGTATGCGATCACCACAAACACCACTAATAGACTGACCACCGATACGACAAATATCTGACAAATAGAGACCAATGAGACAATGAATGGCATGTCTTAAGCAATGGATCACTCACTGGTCCCAAGAGATGAGTGAAGTTATCGACGAACCAAAACATGGGCTCCAGAAGAGTGTCCGCCAAATACCCGCTATTCATATGACTATTAAAACACAGACTCTTTGCGTACAACACGACTGCAAACCATTTGTTTGTCATATAATCACATAATTGTCCACAAAATCGACGGCACAGTCGGCCGAACCTCATCTCTCATCCGGTCGACCACCAAATGACACCAAATTTGCTGTCTTACCACCTCTTGGATCAGTTCTCACAATCATGTCTTAAGCATTTGGATATCATTTGGTCATAAATAAGACAACAATTGTTTGACATTTAAAGTGTCAATCATTTTGCAAATAACAGTCAAATGATTGCAAATGTGTGTCAAAAGTGGTGTTTATTTTGAACTGCATTTGCGAGCGTTTGCGCATTCATTGCATTTTGAAATATTTGGCGCTAAACTCATCACCAAATCAAATGACATCTAATTGTTGAGTGGATTATGAAAGAAGTTGTCATTTAATGATCCATTCATTTGCGGTGAATACTCGACACAATTGAATACATCAACAGCTATTAAAACCATAAAATTCAATCAATTTATTGTGATATTAATGAACTGGTAAAACAATGCTATCTAACTATTGTGCCTAGATACTAGGGAGTAGATTAAATTATAGACTGTGCCTGTATAGACTATTAGAATTGAATGATCCAGGTCTTGAGAATTTCATGCCCATAAAATGTATGCAGTTTGGTTGAGCAGGTTCACTTTAATCACTTTCGATACGTGCTTTAGTGGATTAAACACACAAATTGTTGCTTTTATAAGTAATTCACAATTTGTTTGAATCTTTTATTTCAAAATTAAAATTATTTCCTAATATTGACATAAACATCGAATTAAATTAACACAAAATTTATAGCAATTAATTAATTAATAATTTTTATCTTATTTATAATTCAGTTACTTTTTAACAAATAATTTTTAAATTACGAATGAATAATCAATTTTTCAACAAATTTAGACAAATATTGCAAAAAATCAAATTATTATCACTTAATAATAAATATGGAAACATTATATGAATTCAATTCTAATCATTTAGCGATATATCAAACAATAATAAATAGTAATATATTTTAGCACAGAATTAATACTAATTATAATAATTATATATAAAATACATTGAAATTGTATTAAATGATGAAATGAACGATTGAAACGATGGTCTGTTTGTACTCTTATTTTACAAATATTTTCTACACATAAATATAGAAATATAAATATAAATACAATCAATAATAATACACGAGAAGTGTATACTTCTTATACTTCCAAATCGATAACTTATCCATAGTTTAGATCAAATTAAACCAATTTTAGTGTTTCATGAATAGATAGCAATTGTGTGTTTGTATTATTATAACATTTTATTAGAAATTGTTATGTTCAAGGTACTGGTATACTGTAGGGACAAATACACCAAAAATGGTCAGCAAATTCATCCAAATAATCAGTGTTTAGTAGTCTTAGTACTTAGTGTTGAGAACTGAAGCCATAATTGAATTAAATTTAGTTTGGATTGGAATCACAGCACACATTGATAGCAACCAAATGGAAATATAAGATAACATTAATTCAGACTTAATGTACAGGAAATGCATATCATTTGAGCGATCGATAACTCAGTTGTGATTTGATTGTGTTTAACAATAATTCAATTGTTGTCAACATTTGTTTCACAAAATTTTGCTTAAGTATATAATCATAATGAATTAGAATTCATAAAATTTATATAAATTAAAAAACGTGTCAATCATTTTAAAAATGTCTAAAGTATTGACGAAAATAGTCTAATGAATGGAGTGATGATATGTATTGACACAATCGAGTGAACATTTTGGCCGTTTTTACTCAAATTTCTCGTTAAAAATGTAGACAAAAAATCAATTATAGTTTTCTTATGAATAGAGTCGAGTTTAAGTAGAAATAAATATAAAAATGTATTAACTGTTGAACGTGAGGGTAGTATTGGTGTTTGTGGTGGTGTTCGTGGCGTTTATGGTGTTGTCGGCGGTGGGCGTCGGCTGAGAGCGAGTCAACGGCTCTCTCGCCTCCGCGCCCGACGACGACAAGTGCGAGAAGTGATCATTTGTTGCCGAATAAGAGCTCTTAATATCTCTTTTCTTAGCTTTTCTACGGAAAGGGAAGCATCCCTTGGATTCTTCGACGGGCGGGCAGTCGAACATGAGATCAATGGGTAGCGAACCATTGGGTCCGAAAGCACTCAACTCTTTGAAGCACTCGGTTTCGATCATTTCGTTTTGCCACGGAATCGATACACAACCCGTACTGAATTTGCTGTAAAACGTGTCATCACTAGCATCCAGATTGACGCCCTTAACGGTCGAGAACTGCTCGATGTCTAACACGTCCTTAGCATACACTGCGTGCGGCTATTCGTGGCAACACATCAGTCAATCAATTCTTATGTCAATCACAAGTGTTTGCTTACATCTGGAGAGAAGGGAGGCTCCAGTATTCCGGCCTCAAGTCGTTTCCAATTAATACTTTTAAAGAAGTCGTTTGCTTTCACGTCATACGAACCGAACCGACCGCTCGTACAGCCGAGTCGTTCTTTAGGGTCTTTCTTGAGTAACTGTAACCACAAATCAATAATACATTTAATCCATTAAATAATGTCTCCAATGAGTCAATGACTGACCGCTTGACAAATGGCTTTCGCGTCTTCACTGAATTTATTCGAGTACTTCTCCGTCTCGTCTTTCACCCGACGCTCCACTTCTTCTCTCTTCACCTGAAATATAATTGTCATTCAAATTAATATTCGTCTCAAATCACATGTATATACAGCATATACCTTCTCCTTCCTGCCCCTGAAGGGCGCCTGTCCTTCAATCATCTCATAGAGAAGACATCCTAAGCTAAACCAGTCCGGACTATACGTATATTTCTCATTATCTATCACTTCGGGGGACATATAGCCCACTGTCCCCACTCTCCCTCTCACAGTCTCTCCTTCAGGTATTTCCATCGCTAATCCCAGATCTGATATCCGGACGTGTCCTGAGAGTCGACAAACGAGATTTAATACAAACAATTGCAGACTAACACAATGAATGCAAACCGTGATCATCAAGCAGAATATTCTCAGGTTTGAGATCCCTGTAGACAATGCCCTGAATGTGCAAATGTTCCAATCCTAGGGTCACTTCGGCCGCATAGAACCGGGATCTCTCCAAATCAAAGCCCGGTTCTCCCCCCATGTTATAGATATGGAACTTAAGGTCTCCGCCGTTCATAATCGTCAGAACCAGACAGAGAGCGTCTTTGGTCTCATAAGCGTAGGCCAGACTCACAACGAATCGGGAGTTGATTTTCTGGAGAATTTGTTTCTCAATCAATACCATTGACTCTCCCTTTCGTTTTTTGATACGCTTTTTCTCCAACTTCTTGCAGGCGTACATCTTGCCCGTCGCCCTCACCTGACACGCACACACCTCTCCGAAGCCTCCCTTCCCCAGCACTCTATACATTCTGAACGTTTTGGCCGTAACCGTCCGGTTCTCCAATGTCTTCCATTGGAGATAACGTAAAAAATATTTACTTCTTTCAAATTCATTAAACGGTTCTTTCGATAAGAAATCTTTCACTGATCTGTAAAACAAATTAAATTCAAACAAATTAACGACACGCACATCGATCACATTAATCCCGGTGTCAATACATACTGTGCGCACTGAGCGAAGAGGTCTTTACTATTTGTATGCAAATTCTCATTGCATTGAGTGATTAAATCTTCATTAATAATATCGACAAAATGTGTGCTCTCTTTGGTTAAAAATTTCACAATAATCTCATGGCCGACACCCGCCCTGTCCTCATCGAACTGTAATTCATAGCTTTCCTGTAAATATAATCAAATAATATACAAACCGGTAATAATACATAGAGTAGTGACAATACTGTATAATCAAATTGAATGGCATTAGACAAAAGCAATACATACGACAGCATCGAGATAATGGTTGCATTTGTTATATTGAGGTTTAGTATCGCAAAAACTCCTGAATAATAGTCTTCCGATCGGTTGCTGTTCTATAATATACTTGAATGAGATGTCTGTAAAGAAAATCAATATTTTGACAACTTTTCAATTGGTGTACACGAGAGAGAGAGAGAGAAAGAGAGAGAGAGAGAGTAGAGTTACCTAGTTTGTCTTTGATATCGACGCATTGAGTGATGTGAGGGAACTGTAAAATCTTTTTCCATTTCTTGGACTTTCCTTTGTTAGCGTCGGCCCCGCCTGTAATGATGACATAATATGATTAGGGATTTACAAAATTAAAATTACAAAAACTACATTGCGTAAATTGCGTAAATTACAGTAAATTACACTGATAAAAAATATATATTACATAAATTACAAAAAGGTTTAAACCAATTGAGTTGAAAAATTAGTTGAAAATACTCTAAATTTATAGTTACGCGTCTAAATAATTAAAATTAAATAAATTACAATGCTTAATTTTATTAAATTTAAGCATATAAGGTGCTTAGAAATCATATAACCGTACATACAGAATTCAAAAATATTTTAATTAATATTTTCAAAATACATTATCAATGTTAAAATATAAATTACATACATTACTGTAATTTAAATAAATTAAATCGACAAAAATAAAAATTACTGTCATTTGTAATCCCTACAAAATGAAGCTAGATAATGTCGAAATCTAGTGATATGTCATTTGTTGCATAAATTTACCAAGACAACTGAGTAATTTAATTTCAAAGTTTTACGACATTTTGTCATTGAATATACTGTACTGTATGGGGGTTTCAGTGAATTTTCCATAATTGGCTCTAATCTCAGATAATATTAAAACCTCAGTATCATGGTCATTTTCATACACCGCTACACCAAATACAGAGTTTATTGTGTATATTTGCTTTCCTGTATGGACTTCGAGTGTATTGTTGGGTAGGTTAGGGAAAGGGGAAGAAACTGATTTCTGATCACAAAATGAATTAACCAATTTTAATTAAAGTTAAATCAGTTAACTGAGCTAGTTTTATATTATTAATTTTCTAAATTAAACTTTTATAAACCTTTACCTTATTTAGTACTTCAAATGTAATACGTTTCTTTAATTTTCCCAAATATTTTGTAACTAATATAAAACAAATCTACACTATACTGTATTACTAATCATTTTGGCAGGAAGCGCCGTGCCAATAGGACCCGGCTTATTTTATATTAATTATTCATATTTAATATATGGCTATTTTTGAACAATATTCTTGTATATTTATGCATTAAAACATTTTGAGGTTTGAGATAAATATTAGTAACGTTTTCAAAATGAATGAATAATTGCATAGTAAAATTAAACTTGTAATCTATAGTAGAGCATATTCATTAAATATTAGTAAAACTTTATAGAATATTGTTCAAACATAGCCATATATTAAATAAGAATAATTCATATAAAATAAGCCGGGTCCTACTGGCAAAATTATTAGTAATATAGTGTAGATTTGTTTTATATTAGTTACCAAATATTTAGCAAAATTTACAAAACGTATTACCTTTTTAATTCATTTATTTTAAAATATTGTTATTATCTTATGCCTTATCATCAGTGATTATTAAATAGGTTTGCTTGATAATTTAAATTTGAAAGCAACTAGGACCTACTATAAAATTTGAAACTACAGTATATTATTTGGTCATTCATATGAAAGCCTCGGTTGAAGTGTTTTCAAACACTATTTCATACACATTAAGCCCGAGTTCATAATGTAGACGCAACTCAAAAAATACAACTTTCAAATTAATAATAAATTTTAATTATTAAGTTCATATAAATGATAAATGAGTGAAATGCTGAATTCAGTGGAATTGAGTGCAAAAGGTTTAACACAATATTTGTTAAGAATAGTCTTAAAGTATAATACTTGTAGTGCAGACAAAAGTGAAGTCAAATCAAACTACTGTACGGCTGACGAGTGAATATTGTGTACATTGTGTACAATAAACTAATACATAAGTTATTCTGTGTGATGCTATTCTGGCATTATTAAGATATTTGTATAAATTATATTTTCCAAATCATAAGTCACCAAAGAATATACAAATGAATATAATCCCAGAAATAAAGATACAATTATAATAATAATGTTTTCAAATAGATTTTCATACTAATTAACTGTAATATTTAAGAAATACATATTTAATCATTTAAATCAAATTATGTTTAATAAGCAAAATAATATCACTGATGTAAATGTGAAAAGCATAAAGTAATCACAACACAGTATCAATTAATATAATAGAAATTATTTAAGTAATTAATAATAAGCTTAG